ACTAATGAAAATTAAAAGAAAAAGCGAAATTATTTTTAAAATAAAGATATTATTGCAATTTTATGCAAGATATGTGAATGTTTTATTTCCATTAATTATTTATATAATATGAGTATTTAATAAACAATTTTAAAGATTAATAGTTTTTTAATAGTCCGCCGACCGAGAGTTAAAAAATGCATGCTTATTATTAATTATTCTATAATATGCATGATGATTTCATTTTGTGATTTTTGATGATCAACGCATATGCCGTCTGAAAAACGAATTAATAATATCATATAATCGCAAATAATTAAATTGTCTATATCTGCCGATGATAATATTAATCAGCAAGAAGGAAGTTATTCTCCTTTGTTCATTCTGTGAATCGTAGAAACTCCGAGTCAGAATGAACGGCCAGAAATAAAAAGTAAATTCTCACTGGGTTGAAAAGTGAATTGATATGGCCAGAAAATATGCGTGAGAAAAAAAATAATTTTCTTATTTATAGGTGCGTGTGATGAACACGCAATTAAAAAAACAACGCGAAGATTTCAGTCAAATTAAATGGAGTGATTAAGAACCTCCTCTAAAATCTTAATGTGATTGTGAATTTCTGGTATAGGACTCCTTAAATCTCACGTTATCGTGAATTCTTGATTAGGCATTCCCTAAATCAACAATTTTTTTGTAACCAGATTGGTTGGCGACTGGTATTAGGGCCGCTAGGTAGAGCAAAATAAGATTGTGGTAGGTCTCTCTGCTTAGGGCAGCTAGGCACGGGAAACTAAGGTTTGGTTAGGGCACTTACAAAAATTAAAAAAAGAAAATATATATAGCTGTATAATAAATTAAATTTTTAGGAAAAAAAAATAAAATATATCTTTCATAAATTAATTAAAATAAAATTGTTACACAAAGATTAAAATCAATTCTAAAAGAAGATTGTAGGGTGAAAATCAAAAATTTAATTTATAAATAATTGTAAAATGTAACTAAGTGTATAACTACATTTAAAATTGCATTTATATATAATTATTTAATGTTGTTAGATTCTGTAATATTTTTTAAATTGTAATTAGTAATTTTATTTTTGTTAAATTTATTGTTCCTTAAAAATTTATACAACTATTAATTTAAATGCTTACTAGTCATCTTTAATAATTAATATATTGAGAAAAAGTAAAATTCAATTAAATATTTTAACATTTTTTATTTTCAAATTCTGACAGATGTCCGATATCAAATCTCGTGTAAAGTAATAAAAATAATATTTCTTTATGTCTATTAAAGAATATCGATACTGATAACATCTGATTATTAAATTGTATCTATACATTGTAATATAATAATTAAATTTATATTTCCTATAAATTTTTTATAATTTTTCTTAAATTTTCTATATAATTGTACCACACACGGAGCTCCTAACACACACACACACACAGACACCACTGATCATATATATATATATATATTATATAATATATATTATATATATATACATATATATATCATACTATATACTAAATTAAATCATCTAATTTTAATTATTTATTTATTGTAGTCTGTTGTAAATTACATGAAATTGAAATAGTACGTACAATAATAATTCCTTAAATTTATCTATTTGATAAATATATATTTAATTTCAATATTTTTATTCTAAATTTTTCAAGTATTAAATAGCTTACTTTTTATATTAAAAGATTATTAATAAGTTCGGGAAACTTTTACTTAAAAATTTATAATTGCGCGCAAATATCGTTAATGAAATTCTTCTATATAATAAAAGAATATTAAATAAGAATAATGAGATTTGATATTAACCAACGATTAAATATCAGTTTCTTGCTCCCAAATTTGTGATCGCGCTTTTGCAAAACACTAATGTGCTCGAAAGTAAAATATTGCAAAAAATAAAATATTATCGATCACACTGTGGAAATTAAATCAAAATAAAATAATTTACTATAAATATCGTTCTTGATTAAAAGTATTTCGCTAAATTCGCGTCGCGTTAAATATTCACTAAATGATTTAAACAAATATATAGCGAACAATTACGTTTTTTCTATGTTTTTGGGCACGATTGCTGATTCGGCGAAGAAGCCTTATCGCTATCCCTTATGTCAGGTGAACCCTAGCAAATGCGCGGTTTGTATTGACGGAGAGTCGAAACGATCCTCATCGCGGAGAGTTATTTCTCATCGGTTTTTGTGGGACTTATCCGCTTAATTCGATGCTTCATTAAAAATTAAAAGTTTTCGTTATAGAGTTGGAACTCAGATTTTCTTGACGGTACCTGGAAACAATGTTTTTGACAGTAATTAAACGACGATCACCATAAACTGCTTGAATTAAATCACGAAATTAAATTCATACTTTGTAAATAATAAATTATATACTAAATGATATACTTTGAGAGAAGATGTATTTTCTTCTTTTAATTAAGAATTCTTCCATTAGTATTTGTATTAATATCAGTATCTTAATAAAAATAATAGTAGAGTGAATATGGATATAATAGAATTCATTTTTTCCAATATATAAATTTAAAATAAATTTTGCAAACTTTTTTGATAAAAAAGTGTGGTTACAAACAAATGTATTTTATTAATTAATTTTGAATTAATTTAATTTTTGGTCTCTTTTAAGAAACCATTTGCAGGCACTGGACGTCCCACCATTTTATACTATATTTAATTTATGGACAAGTGTATATGTACATATAATAAAACACATGCGCAAATTATGTGATATATTTGATATAACTCCTTTTTGTATTATACTTAATATTATATTATGAATGCATGAATATCACTTCAAATATGCAAGTAATTAAAGAATCGAGAGACGAATTAAATGGGTTATATATTAGAAGTTAAATATTATGGCACCTAAAATAATATAAAAAATATAATGTTAGTAACAATTAACCTGATATTGCTGATTAACTACTTAAATCTCATAATCGATTTATAAAAAAATACTAGACTGTGATTAATCGATGTGCTTATTTATTGCTTATGTTTTTTTATGTTATTGACTTAATGTACTATTCAATTCTTATTCTCTATGTAAACTTATAATATCTTAGTATTATTTACAATATCCAAAAATGTTTATTAAGCGTTTAAAGATTCGGAAGCAACATTGTTTTTATAAATCGTAGATGGAACAACTAATTTAGAAACATTTAATTCCCAATTATTTTTCACTTGTCTTGTCCTATATACAATTATTAGACTTATATATTGCATTTCGGTAATTTACCTTCTACAATATGCATTTTTGGAAATACGTGATGAATATATGGTTAATAAGACGATAATATTATTTCTTTACTTCCTTTATCGCTAATTAAAGAAAATCGTTAATAGAATAAAGATTTATTGTAACATTAAATAATTAACTATTACGAGCAGTCGTATTTATCTCATTTTTACTTTTATACTTATTTTTTTCGATAAATTCGTCGCAAAATTCTTACATCGTTCATTTTTTAAATTTTTTATTGAATAAAAATCACTCTATCGATCGATGCTATGAAATTGATCGTGTATATGTATTTAGTGACATATTGAAGTCATTCCGATTCAGCGCTATTAAATGTTATTACACTCGAGTCAACGCAAGAGAATATTTTGAATTAACTGGATTTGACCGAACAACAAAGTCTCTATGTAATTCTCAAAACGGTAAGTGTATCTTTATAACTCATTAAAATAGAAGTAAACTTTTTATTTATCCTAGTTTTTTTTAATGCTGCCGCTTTTTAATTCAAAACTGAAATTTAGGCGAAAAGTTAAAACGCGACGCGTTGACGAAGCGCTTGCCATCCGCGGCACGTTGACGGCACTGACGGCGCGAAAGGGTACTTAGCTTCCTATTCAGGCACTTTAAGATTTATCATAAATTGAAAAATTTAAAATAAACCTCAAGGCACCGTCCAAGTACTAAGCCCTCCCATCGCGACAAGGTGTACCCCATGGGAGGGTTATATTATATATAATATTTTATATATAATATAATGTATAATAATTTTGTATTATACTATATAAATTTTAATTCGCAAAGAAACAATAAATAAAAATATAAAAAATATGAGAAAATTTATTATTATATATAAAGCAATGTTCAAAATAATTGATTTTAAAACTAATTATTGCGCGCAATTAATTTTTAAATAGATATATTTTAATGTTATAAATCGCGTAATTATAAAATAATTTATATTTTTTATAGATATAAACTTTTAAAAATATGACAAATAAACAAATTTATATTTTTTTATATATGTAATATTTAATATAATAAATATATTAATATGAAATGTTTTATAAAATATAAGAAGTATCTGAAAATATTAATTAATAAAAAATTTTATAAAAGTTTTAATTATTTTAAAATAAAACCGAATATTTTTTATAAGTATATGTATTAAATATGTTATAATTTAAAATCACTATTATATATATTGAATCACTATCAAAGAAGTAAAACGATTAATAATTCGAGAAATAAGCTCTGAAGAATTTGATGATCATATATAAAACACATTTAATTTCTTCCAAGAGATCTTATATTGATGAATAAAAGATATTTTCTAAGCAAAATTAAATATTACAGTAATTTCTTCCTGTTTTCGAATTATCTCTGTTCGAATATTGGAGTTAAGAGCACAAATGTGGAGCATATTAGAAGTGTAATTAGATATAATAAGTGTCATTATTTAAGCAAGAGCAATTGTGCTTAAAATATTTTTGATATTTTATATATATAAATCAACTAAAAAGCGTTTCTTCGCGTACTATAAAGAGCTATACCCTGTAAGCGTAAACGCGTCGCATGTTTGCTCGCGCAAATGTATGTGCGATTTATAAGCTGCGGAGACATGAAAGTAAGAATCCAATATTATTCTATCGATGTTTCACTAAACTTGATCCAGTCTTTGTCTCATGATTTGACACCTATAACTTCGCATACATTTGCATCATTTCACCTCCTCCTTTATCGAAGTACACCTACGCAGCGGACATAAGCTGTCATAAGAGTTACCTGCAATCAACACAAATAACGTCATATATTTCTTAACTAAGTCAAGTTCGTTCCGGAGATAATATAATAGACGGAAGTCTTATTTTATCACGGTTATAATCGTGCTGAAAAAGTATGTAACATTTTCATTTAACATTTAAATTTATTTGGAGTTAATGATATTTATCGCTTCTAATTAGAATTTTCTGCTGGTATAATTTTAATAATAAATCTAATAAATATTCATATTTACTTCCCTATTGATTTTGATCTTGATATGTGTTGTGAACATCATGTCCCTGAGTAATATACAAAATAAAATGCGTTTTAATTTCTCAGGATTTTGATTATATTGGGTAAGATTTTATTTATTCTGCAATGATACCTGATGCGTTTGTATTATAAGAATACTTTACGCATGATTACAGATTTTCTTATCGTTCTGCAAATCTGAGACATTTAAATTATATTATTAATTATACAAATGAGAGAAAGTTATTTTTTAATTCGTAGATTAATATATTTTGTTAATATTACAAAAATAAGCTGAATTCTGAATTATTAATGTAGTAACACAATAACTATAAAATTACATCTTAATATTTATTTATTTTAACATCTCTTAAATTTTTTATTATGTTAATGTATCAACATATATGTATTAGTACTGCATTAATTATTACTTGCTAATACACATAAATTAATAAATGTATATTAATGTGTTATATATATATATATATATATATATATATATATATATATATATATTTATGATTTAATAGAGGATAATATTACAGATATAGATTATAATTTTAATATAATGTAAAATATTTATGAATGTTGTACATAATAAAATATTAAATGTTTAATTAATATTATAAAATACTGTACATATAATTAATATTTAAATATTGTATATAAAAATATTTGTATATAAATATCAACAAATTAATAAATAGTTATATTAACATATATTATTAATATTTTAAATCCTATAAAAAGTATTTTTTACGAATGTGTTTTATTAATATACTATTAATATTTTTAATTTAATAATAAATGATATGGCATAATTCTTGGAGCACGCTACTTCTATAATATTTTTATTCCACATTTTAAAAAAACATTTCTTAATTTTAATTTAAAAATCTACTTCGTGAGAAAAATACGATTATTGATTTGATCGATTATAATAGAAAGATTTTTCGTCGTATATTTTCGTTCTAGTCATATATCCACCATATAAATTTAAAAGAGTGAACAAAAACATAAAAAATTTATTATATTCTCTTACATACAATACTGTAATATTATATTCTAGTGTTAATAAGTTACGTTTTTTTATTAATTTGCTTGAAGATAATTTATCGATACAAACTTGTAATAATATAGTTAATAAAATTTTATTTGAATGTATATTGCTAATTATAAAGATTATCAAATTTTTGGTATGAATATACTACTTTTAAATAGTATAAAAGAATTCAAATATATATATTTACAGATATTTTTGCATTCTACATAACGGCCTCTTATGCTTTAGACCTACGCGAAATAAACTGTTCTGCCATCTTACAGCGCTCGATCGCTAGCACGAATTTGGAGTGGGAAGAACGGCACCGTGCTTTGCTATTACATATCATTTCTCGATCGAAACGTCTGTTAACGACCTCAGAAGTTGTGTGTTTACATATGGCATACACATTTATTGTAATATCGCCAAGTGTTATTAGTCTTTGGAAGTTTCTCGAAATAATAAGAAATCACAAGTGCGCATGTATATCTTTCATGTTACAATGATAGTGGATAAAACATTAATTTATTGCAGCTAATTATTGTAACGAAACATACACTTGCTTAGAATTTGTAGTATATCTCATTATACAGAGTAAGTTATTCAAAATTAAGTTTATTTTTATATATTTGTCTTAATTCCATCTTTTTTCCATTAAATCATGGTAGAGACAGTGCTGTGTCTAATTTGTCCGTTTGTACTTTCTAACAAAAATATATTTTTACAGATATCTAAGATAAAAGTAGTATCATGTTTCTTAAACTATTGTTAAGCAGCAGCTTAACTATCATCGTCGCTGCGGCTTTTTTAACCGACGAGATAATTAAAATATCTCAGGAAGAGTTAAACAGGCATTCAAATTATATATTACCGCATCGTTATGATATCATCGTTACACATATCGAAGAAAATATTCTTGTCTGTAACTGCATTATACGTACAGAGATTAAACATCCAACATCAAGCATATTATTGTATTATTTACACGTAAAAAATATTAATCTAACTATGTTTTATTCTTCATATTTTAAGAATGATACTCAAGAAGAGATCATTTATACATCGGTAAAATTTATGTATGATGTTGAGAAAAACATTGTCAAATTTATATTCCCTAATGATTTATTGCCAGGGTATTACAACATAAAATTAGTTTATAATATAACTGAAGATACAGGCCTAAAAACCTTTTATAAAAGAGATGAGCGACAATGGTAAGTAACTGTTAAAATGTTAAATATATAGTAATTTCACGATGTTTATGATCAAGTCCTGGTAAATCACTTTATTTTTATTTAAAAAGTATTTTCTAAGAAAAACACATTTATATATAGACATGTACGTATTTGAAATGTTTCCATTCTTAATTATATGTTTCTTAAATCATCTTTTTGTAAAAAATTTTGCAATTTAATATTATCATTATTATTAAAATGAATGTAAGCTCCAAATAAAAATTAATTTAATTAAAGTAGACAGCAATAATACACGTCTTATACAGCATTTTATTGTCAACACTCAAACGAAATCAAATATTCCGGTAGAGATTTGAATTGTTTTCAAAATATAAATAGATTTTGAAGGATTTATATTTTTATAAAACTTGCTTATATGAAAATTGAAATTTTGAACAAACACTTAAGTTTTACACTGTTTATTTTGACAATATCAAATTTTAGGAAATTTATTTCTAATATTTAAAAAAGTCTACAATTTAGAAGGAAAACATTTCAAAACACATGTTTATATAAATTTTTTTTATCCTTATAGTTCATAAAAGTCATTATCAAAATTTGATTAGATCATAAACACTTACATAATACACTTACAACTTTCATAAACACTCTGCATATAATACATGCAATTATACATATATATAAACTACACTTATGCTGTTTCATGTATTTAAACGTGTATTTACACACACCCATATTATTTAAAAATAATACTACTTTTACTAATAACTAAGACATATATACATATGTGTTTCATTTAATAAACTAACACTAAAATAAGCAGTTTCTTTCACTTGTATAAAATTATGTACAAAATCGTTGATAACATATCAATTAAAATCAATTTAATAAAGCTATTATTCCAATACTATTTTATATTGAAATTTATTTTAATTTTATTAAACGCATTAAAATTTTGATACTAAAATATTAATTATTAAATATTTATTTTGTATCTGTATATTCTAAAATAGACATTTAACGAATCCCGCACCACTAAAATATATACAACTTTTATACAATTTCATTGAAACCACTTTTGCATCAGGTATTGCGGTGTCTTTTATTATTGTTAATTCATATTTCTGAATGTGATAGGTTTGCAACGTATGTTGATCATATTGGGATCCAACACATGATTCCATCTTTGCCCGAATCTTTAAGCAGAATGCCCTATTATAAGCCCATCTACAATATTATTATCGAACATTATCAAAACTATAAAGTTTTATTAAGTCCACTGATACAAACAACAGAAAGGAATGATAAAAACATGATGAAGACATATTTGTATACGTTTGTAAAGCCTATTTATCTACTATTTCTCAACCGAATTAATTTATCTTTTATGCCTGGTACAAATGAAAGTGTCAGAGTTAATATGTGGTGTAGAATGCACTGCAAATTTGCACATCAATTTGCTAAAAATATAACAACGTACATGTTCGATAAATGGAAACGTTTGAATCAAACTTGGGAAATAAATCATATTGCACTTCCGGATTTTCAAAACGAAAGCATTATAAATTTGGGACTTATTCTTTACAAGTAACTATATAATTAGAAAAAATTTACATATCTTTTCTCTATTTTTAAAATATTATTTGAATATATTTTAAAAAATAAGTTATATTGTATGAAGCACAATGAGAGGAGAAACATATCTAATCGTTTATTATTAGTCCAGTTTATTATTGCCCAGAAAATTATTGCGATTTTTGTTATTTAATATTTGACGCTTTTTTCATGTTGTCTTTCTTTTGTATTTATATTATATCAATGTAAAAGCGCAAACTTCGCACTACATTTTAATAAAAATAACTGTGTTTTGATATTGATTTCCGTTTTATTTAAACTATGAAATTAAGAATGATAAAATCGCAAATTCTAGCGATTTTTTTATATAAATTCAAAATGAGGCGTAAGTAAAGCAACTGAAGGCGCTCAATATTAACGATGCATTTGGTCCAGGAACCGCTAATGAACGTACAATGCAATGGTGATTTCCGTAAATTTCAGTGGAGAGTCTTGAAGTTGAAAAGTTCTGGACGACTGCGATTATTGACGACGACCACTTGAAGGTGTTAGTTGAAACAGAGTCACGCACATCGATTCAAGAACTAGCGAAAAACTTGGCGTAAACAAGTCACCTGTTTCTGATTACTTGGAACAAACTGGAAAAACAAAAAACCTAGACAAATGAATGCCGCATCAATTGAGCGAAAATCAAAAGAATCATCACTTTGAAGTATGTTCTGCACTGATTTTGCACAAACAGAATAATCCGTCTCTTGATCGCATTGTAACGTGTGATGAAAAATGGTTCTTATACGATAATCGTCGACGTTTTGCACAATGGTTAGACCATGATGGTGCGCCAAAACGCTCTCCGAAACTAAAATTGTATTAGAAGAAGATTATGGTGACTATTTGGTAAACGTCAGCCGAGATAATTTACTATAGCTTTTTAAATTCGGGCGGAATTATTACGGGAGAGAGGTACTGTCAAGAAATTGACAAAATGCATCAGGAACTGACAAGTTTGCGTTCGGTGTTGGTCAACAGAAAAGATCCAATTGTTCTACACGACAATGCTCGACTACGCCGCACAACCGACGCTGCATTAATCAATTGAGCTATGAAGCTCCATGAAACTCTGTCTCACCCATCATATTCTCACCAACTGACTATCACTTCTTTAAACATTTCGACAATTTCTTGCAGGGGAAAATCTTTAACAATAAAGCTACTGTCAGAAACGTCTTCGAAGAGTTTGTCGCTTCTAAAAATCTAAATTTTATGCTACAGGAATAAATAAATATTGTTTCTCGTTGACAAAAATATTTAAACTTCATATCAATGGTCCTCTTTTCATTTGATAAAGTTCACTTGCTAAAATATGCGTATTTGAACTTGAAGTTTAAAAATTACAATAACTTTCTAGACAACCTATCTTCAATGTACATCAATTTATATGAAGAATAATATTAAAATATACATATTTTATAATCTTAAAATAGAAAATTACAAATTAAAATATAAAATTGTAAATTAAATAATTATATTAAGATATAAGAATAAGTATAATTATTATATTAAGGTTTTCATTTTTATCAATCAAAATTTAAAAAAGTTATATATATATATATACAGGGTGTCCCAGACCACCCGTCTCACCCGATTTTTTCGTAAACGCGACATTTTAAAGAAAAATGTTTCAGACAAAAGTTTTGTGACTTGGAGGGGGACATAAGATGGTGTCATTGGTTTGACCTTGGATAGTCGTTTGAAGGTCACATAAAGATTACCTTCAATTTCTTAAATGGAACCCCCTATTTTTCATTGCATATTCTTGTAGCTTATCTCGAGAGCTTTCCAAAACACTATAATTAAGTACCTTTTTATTAAATACTTTTTGAGTTATAAGGCTTGAAATAATTTCTTAATTTTACATAAACCATAAAATATCTAGTAAACCATTCATTTTTCGATTATCTTACCTTCATATTTTTATGTACAAAATAATGAGAGGAATCAATTGGTGTAAAGAAAACACATAGTTGTTTCTAAGAAAAAATTAGATGTAATTTGCAATTAACAATTCCATATTTTTTCTTAAAAACAACTGTATGTTTTCTTTACACCAATTGATTCCTCTCATTAGTTTGTACATAAAAGTATGAAGGTAACATAATCGAAAAATGAATGGTTTACTAGATATTTTATGGTTTATGTAAAATTAAGAAATTATTTCAAGCCTTATAACTCAAAAAGTATTTAATAAAAAGGTACTTAATTATAATGTTTTGGAAAGCTCTCGAGATAAGCTACAAGAATATGCAATGAAAAATAGGGGGTTCCATTTAAGAAATTGAAGGTAATCTTTATGTGACCTTCAAACGACTATCCAAGGTCAAACCAATGACACCATCTATGTCCCCCTCGAAGTCACAAAACTTTTGTCTGAAACATTTTTCTTTAAAATGTCGCGTTTACGAAAAAATCGGGTGAGACGGGTGGTCTGGGACACCCTGTATATATATATATATATATATATATATATATATATATATATATATATATATAGTGCGACACTCGTTTCCAATATATTGCATTACTTCGTAATGAGCATTTAGAAATAAAACATTAATAATAATATATAATTAATATGTTAATTAGATAGAATCATTTAATTATAAATTTGGAAATTCAATATTCTTTATGTTATTATACAACAGAAATAATCATTATATCAAACATTTTTGTAATTTTCAGAGAAGCAGATATTATCTACAATGACAATGTAGATTCTGTTGCGACTAAAATCAAAGTTGCCCGCTTCATGGCTCATAAAATAATACAGGAATGTTTCTATTATGAAAATCCACTTTGGCCGTTATCCTCTTTAAATGAGGCTATTGTCGCATTTCTTGGATTATATGTCACCAATCAGGTTATTTTAAGCATTCTTTAGCGCAAACTTTACTCACTAGCAAACAATATGATGGATATACAGGGTGTCCCTGAGCATGTGCTCACTCATTTGTAAAAAGGTAGAGCGCAGTAAATTAAATAAAGAAATCCTATTATATGTAACGATTTTTGTAATAACAATCGAAATATTAATTATTGAAATCGGACGAATGAGAGAAGCGCTCGAGCGCTCGAGCTATAGCACGGCCCACCGTGTCAGACATTGCCTGCCGGCACGCGGCGGGAGGAGGGACAGCGCGCCAAACATTGCCAGAAATGAGACGCGAGATGCGAGTCTTGACGCGATGCAATGAAACGTGAGAATGGCGATAGCGGTAACCACGGCGCGCTGTCCCTCCTCCCGCTGCGTGCTGGCAGGCAATGTCTGACACGGTGGGCCGTAGCCCGGTGGGCTATAGCTCGAGCGTTCGAGCGCTTCTCTCATTCGTCCGATTTCAATAATTAATATTTCGATTGTTATTACAAAAATCGTTACATATAACAGAATTTCTTTATTTAATTTACTGCGCTCTATCTTTTTACAAATGAGTGAGCACATGCTCAGGGACACCCTGTATATATATATATATATATGTATATATATATATATATATATATTGTTTGCGTTAAACATATATATATATATATATATATATATATATATATATATATATGGTAAATATTTATCTTTACACAATCTTTATCTACCAATTTTTATCATTCCCAAATAACTCGACCTTGATATATATTGTCAAGGTTACTGCCCTGAATAACATGCAAAAAATTTTTGGCGTCGCTCGTTGTTTATTAAAAAGTTATAAACAAAAGAAGTTTTATAAGGTTCACCGAATTTTTAGACACCATGTACAATAATAGATCATTTGTATTGAAAGTTATAAAGGAATAAAGATATTAAAGAATTTTTTAATAAGCAACGAGTGACGCCTAAAACCTTTTTGATATTATTTAGCGCAGTGACCTTGACAATATATGTCAAGATCAAGTAATGGGGTGGCTGTGTAAAGGTAAATATTTACCATTATAGCGTGTAATTTTTTTTATAAATCAAAATATTAGGTGAAGATTTTATATTTACATGGAAAAGTGAGTTTTTTTAAAAATGCTAATTTTCAAGTAAATCTGCAACATATTACATAGATAATACAAATTAAAATATTTCTACATTTTTATGTTTCTTTTATTTTGTATGTATGTCAAAATCACTATGTTAAATTTGTTCAACTTTAAATTATCATATAAAAGAAAAAGAAAAATTATCATTCAGATTCCATGTAATATATGTATACATATAGAAATTGTGTAATAAGATAATTTAGCTATATAATATATTTTCATAATTCTAAAAATATTAATTTTAAAGATATATATCGAGTAATCATTTTTGTTATTAATATATTATATTTTTAAATTATTTATTCTATATTTTAAGAGTATTAGAATATAAGAGATTTTTTTACATACACGTGGAAAATAATAGCTCTAATGAATATTGCTATTGTGTGTTAAATATAATATTAATTAAGTAAATACATTTAAACTATTTTCTATAGACTCTCCCAAGTATCCGGATGATGGACTTGTTTGTGGTACAAATTCAACAAGAATCCCTTCATTTCGATACTGAATATAATACATCACTTTATAATACATCATTCAACATTTCTTCTGAACATTACAGTTACATTAAAGGTATGATAATATAAATAAAAATTGATTATGAGTAAATTTTTGAAAATAAATGCTTATAAAACAAGAAGAATAACTGATAAAAATTATAATTTTATATACTCTTCATTATACACATGCATATATATACATACATAATGGAGCTGTAGTATATAAAATTATATATAAAATATATTACATGGAAATATATTACAGGATGTTTCTTTTTATGTGATACATTATCGATTATCTCAGGAACTGATGATTTTATTGAAAAATTTTTCAAACGAAAGTTGCGTAGCTTGAAGGGTACACATGATGGAAAACATGGACTTGACCTTGTCAAAGTCAGGTCAAGGTCATTAATGATTTTTAAATAAAAATCTTTACTTTTTTTATAACATATTCTCAAATTTTACATATTTTTTTTACTTATTAAATATGTAGACTACCTCGAGAGCTTTTCAAAACGCTATAATAAAGTATTTTTTCATTGAGTACTTTTCAAGTTATGTCTTAATTTTACACAAGCTATAAAATATCTAGTAAAATATTCATTTTTCGATTATCTAACCTTAATACTTCTATGTACAAAATAATGAGACGAATCAATATAATCGCTATAATCAATTGATGTAAAGAAAAATAATCCCCAAAAACTTACTTTTTTAAAAAAAGGTAAAAAAAGAGCGCCGAGTTTATGCATTAATTGTATCCAACTGTCATATTGTCTACAAAAATAGTGATATAAAAAAATTACGCCAACTAAGAATAAAAATTTGTACAAGATAAATAATAAAAAAAATTTTTATTAAAAAAACTTGGCGCTGCCAATTTTATTAATATATTGTTCAGCTTAAAAGTCTAAATTTACAAATCCAGAAGATCTTAAGAGAATTAATAATAAATGTCCAACAATTATATTTGCTGTTAAACATATATTTAATTGGAATATATGCCAATTTTATTGGCAGCGCCAAGTTTTTTTAATTAAAATTTTATTTACTATTTATCTTGTACAAATTTTTATTCTTAGTTGGCGCAATTTTTTTACATCACTATTTTTGTAGACAATATGACAGTTGGATACAATTAGTGCATAAATTTGGCCCCCTTTTTTACCTTTTTTTAAAAAGGTAAGTTTTTGGGGATTATATCACTTCTTTTTTTAATCTAATTTGCTAAGAGATATTATATTTAAAAAAGTATGTATATATATATATATATATATATATATATATATGTATGTATACTCTTTTAATACATAAGCAAATTATATAAAAATATATATAGAATAAGTATATATAATATACATTATATATATGTATACATATATATATATATATATATATATATATAATTAATATATTATATATATTTATATTTAGCTTGTAAAATAGATATATATATTTATTTACCTTGCTCCAATTATCATACCGTACTGGCTCTTGCCAATTTTTAATTAATAATTTAATTATTTATTATTTATAAACTTGCTTTTATTATTTATTAACTTGCACTTTATTACTACTCAAAATGCGGTTAATGATACATGTCACTAATGACACATATGACACATGTCATTAATATCGAAAAGCGTCGCTAGCGCAATCTTCTGTCGAGAGCAGGAAAAGGACGTTTTCTCTTTCTATGTATTGTGTACATGTGCGTTGATGACGACCATGATAATGATAAAGACGTTTCTTAATTGAAAATTTTCATATTTCGACTTTGCATTATGATATCTCCGTTAATAGATCACGCAGCGCAAAAATAAAGATACTTTCTTTATACAATTCAAACTCGCTCTATCGATTAAGGCTAGTAAGAATTCGATCCGTTCAGCCGTTATTAAAATCCGATAATCTAAGTTACTCTCAACTGTCCGACTCGCGTATAGATACACGGAGTGCCGCGCAATGCTTCGCATGAACTTGGCGCGAGACACTACCGTGTCTCTTGATCATAGTTGTTTTAAAAAAAGAATATGTAATTGTTAATTGCAAATTACATATTTTTCTTAAAAACAACTATGTGTTTTCATTAGATAAATTGATTCGTCTCATTATTTTGTACATAAAAGTAAGCAAAACATACATAATGCTTTTAATATCATATTAGTTTATAAATAATTAATGTGTTTAATATCAATTTGCTTAAGAAAAGTTTTAAAATTGTTACACTTTAACTTGTTATATCTTTTAAACCAATGTCGCTCTCATTTACTTTTTTGCGCGAAATTTTGCTCAGGAAATCTTCCTCTATTCAAATGATGTTAAAATCGGTGATGTGTAACGTTTTATGCACTTTTATTATAATTATTAATTATTATTTACTATAACTTTATCTTATTCATATTCTGATGTAAATTATATAATTATAGTATCCAGTCTATTGCGTGGATTACAAGAAATGATTCCTGAAGAGATATTTTGGCAGAGTATCTGTATATATGTAAAGAACAAGTAAGTAATACACCATACTACTATAATTACTATTTTTATTTAAATAAAATTTATTTATTTTATTTTTATTTAAACTTACATCATTTCTTTCATACTTCATTATCTTTATTATTACCATTTACAATTCTTTTTACCTTCAATGCCATTAAATATTCAAGATATATTTTCAACTTACATATACACTTATTTTTTAAAAGTAATCAAGTTTGGCTATTCCTTTTAAATTATAATTTAAACTGTAGCATCAAATTCATATAAAAACTATAAATTATACGATTAATTATGTAATTAATTATATATTTAATTAAATTAAACATAAAATATAATTAACAATTTTATATTGTGATAATTATTATATGTATATAAATATATATATATATATATATATATTTGCTTATAATACCTTTCGTTAACACATCAATAAATTTTGAATAAATTTTATAACTTTAGCAATTCAACTTTTAACTATTTTGGTGAAATTATGATGAACCTTTCGTACATTCAAATATCTACAGTCGATTTATATATTATAAGGCAGCTAATTAACTCTACAATACAACAAAATTATTATTCTGTAGTGAACGTAGTACGAGATTATAATTATCCTATAAAAATGATAGATATAAATTTAAATGAGAAGATGATGACGGATGATTACACATCGTATGATACGGAATTGGGTGACTTTATAGTATTTAATCTAAATCAAACTGGTAAGTTTGCAATAAATTTATTACATTTTATAGTGTTTATCATACGTACACATTGAAGAGAAAGATTTACATTACTAAAAATATTATTCATTATATTATGTATTATATATACACTACATTTATTATACATTATATATACATACATACGTACAATTATTAGAAATATTCAATTTTCATGCAAAATGATTCTATATCTAATATAATATACAAATTGCATTTCCATTTATGCTCACTTTATGATACATTTTTGATTTCTATTAATATACAAAAGTATAAGTACAAAAGTATAAACAGATACTTGTACTGATAAACCCTTTGAAAGAATTATATATATATATGTATATAATTTATTTATTTTACAGCATATTATCGAGTCAATTACGATATCGAAAACTGGAGGAGAATTGCAAGTTATCTAAATTCTACAAATTATAAGAAAATACATGTTTTGAATCGTGCCCAAATTATCGACGACGCTTTCCACTTAATGATAACAAACCAACTTAATTCCACTGTATTCTGGAATATTACAAAATATCTATCACAAGAAACAGACTACGTGGCATGATATCCTATGTTCAAAGCTTTAGAATATCTGTCCAATATCTTTCTATTTCATGAAAAAATATATTTTGATATCAAGGTAATAACACATATTATAAACAATGTCAATAGTGATGTCTTTAATATACTAAAAACATATTGCACATATTAATATTGTGTGTATTTATAACAATAATTATTAAGTGTTTTCCAAAAAGATACATATAATAAAATATATGTAGCTAGAAAAAATTTGATTAGATATTTTAAATATACATATTTTGGATGAAAGATAAGTATATTTGTAAATTAACATTTGAATAGTGTATGTACTAATAATATAAGAAGTTGGAGAGGAAAAAGGAGAAAAATTTGAAAATTGTTATCATTTTTAATCACAGCATAATATTTATAATGACGATTAAAATATCATTAATTTTAAGATAAAAAATTAGTAGGAAACATATATATTAATTGTCTGTGTGTTTAATACACAATAGAGTTAATAAATTATTAAATTATATTATACAATAGATATAATGTCTACATTTATGTCTACATGTCTACAATATATGCATGCATGCACTTCTGTATGTTTATATTATATGAACATGTGTTAAGCATGTGTAAATATGCACGCAAGAAAAATTCAAATTTGTGTATAAATACATATACAGGGTGTCCCATTTTAATGCCCCACCCCAAATAACTTTCTTATTTTTAATTTTAGAAAAAGATGTTTCAGACAAAAGTTGTATGGTTTCGAGGGGGACATAAGATGGTACCATTAATTTGATCTTGAAGAGTCACATGAAGGTTACGTGAAGATCATTTTCAATTTCTTAAATGGAACACCCTATATATTTTTGCATATTCTTGTAGCTTATCTCGAGAGCTTTCCAAAACACTATAAATAAACATTTTTTCATCAAGTACGTTTCGAGTAATGAGGCTTGAAATCATTTCTTAATTTTACATAAACCATAAAATATCTTGTAAAATATTCATTTTTTGATTATCTTACCTTAATACTTTTATGTACAAAATAATGAGAGAAATCCATTGGTGCAAAGAAAACATACAGTTGTTTTTAAGAAAAAAATATGTAATTTGCAATTAACAATTCCATATTTTTTCTTAAAAACAACTGTATGTTTTCTTTACACCAATTGATTTCTCTCATTATTTTGTACATAAAAGTATTAAGGTAAGATAATCAAAAAATGAATATTTTACAAGATATTTTATGGTTTATGTAAAATTAAGAAATGATTTCAAGCCTCATTACTCGAAACGTACTTGATGAAAAAATGTTTATTTATAGTGTTTTGGAAAGCTCTCGAGATAAGCTACAAGAATATGCAAAAATATATAGGGTGTTCCATTTAAGAAATTGAAAATGATCTTCACGTAACCTTCATGTGACTCTTCAAGATCAAATTAATGGTACCATCTTATGTCCCCCTCGAAACCATACAACTTTTGTCTGAAACATCTTTTTCTAAAATTAAAAATAAGAAAGTTATTTGAGGTGGGGCATTAAAATGGGACACCCTGTATATAAGTATAGCTATATAAGATAGATATCTTTATAAAAAGACTTCAGAACTGTTTACAAAGACAGAATGTTCTGAATATATAAACCTTCTTAATATGTAAAATACAATTGCGCAAGATATCTTTCTATATAGCAAAATATAATGCAAGAATCGAAAAATATAAAATTTATATCAAATAACAATATAAAGACATATAAATACATTTATATATATATAATAATAATAATTGCGTTTATTAACATTTGAGTTATATACATTTTATATACACTTGTTCCATAAGTATTTGTGTTGGTGCGTGCGCCACATAAGGTTCCTTGTACAACATTTGTTTCCCCATTCAGCCTCTCCTCATCCTCTCTCCCACCTGATATGTAAATTCTTCCTCCTCTCTGTTCCTCCTCCTTGCTATACTCAACATTCTTGTCAAAGCTCGTGCCCCATTTATCTGTTGCCTCCAACTTTCATGTTTTTCTCCAGTCATATCGCATGTTTCGAAAACATGTTGAAGCGTCTCTTCTTCTTTTCCGCATAGTCTGCACCTTCTATTCTCCTCCGCTTCCCAATACTTGTTTGCCCTCGTTTCAGTGCCTAATCTAAATCTTGCTTCCATTTCCAAAGCTCCTTTCCGTTTATTTTCTTTACTTAGATATTCTGGTTTTTCCATGGCTTCTGGTACTAAGTTTTTATATTCCTTCGCAAATTTTGATCTTTCTAGCTTCTCACTCCATATCTGTCTTTCCATACATTCACTAATGTCTTTCAACCTAATCCAAATTCCACTTCCATTTTTCATTTCAAGATCATAATAATCTATCGACCATCCTTTTTCTTCAAGGTATTTTTTCCTTGCGGTTTTCCATCTTTCACATGTTTCTCTTTTCCTGTTTATTCTCATTTCTGTGCTAAATTTATTCTTTACTCTAATGCACTCTTTAATCAGTTCATTCCTTCGCTTTTCATTATTTTTTCCTCGTATTTTACCGCTCTTATTCCTGATTTGGTTGCAATTTTATTTCTTTTTGTTTCCAAGTGAAGCATGTGGCTAGGTGTCGTTCTGTCCAGTTTTAGTGTCCATTTTATATATTTATCTTGTAAATCTTCAATTTCCTTATACTCTTTCCAGCCCCATATCTCCACGCCATACATCATAATACTCTCCACCAAGACTTCAAACAAGTACATTCTTTTTTTCCAGTTGTCCTTGAAGTTTCTTTCTCCTATACTCCATACTTTTCCTAGAACGGCCATTGCTTTCTTCCTTATATTCTTTATATGTGCTTCATTTCCGTTGTTTCTTTGTAAAGTGTATCCTAGATAGTTGAATTCCTTCACCTCCTCGATATCTTTTCCTTCCCATGTGAATGTTATGTTTCTCTTCCTTCCTCCTGCTTTTCTTCCTCTCATGATTTTAGATTTATCTATGTTCAGTTCCAATCCTCTGTCCTGTATGTATTTCCTGAATTTTTTAATCATTTCTTTTATTCCTCCTTCGTTGTTTGCTAGCAACACCACGTCATCCGCATACGAGACTGTCCAAACCTTCTTCCTTCCTATCACTATTCCTCCTAACTGTACACTTCTCATAGTGCTTTCCAAATCTGCAAAAGCTAAGTTAAACAGTGCTGTACTGAGCGGACATCCCTGCCTCACTCCTTTTTCCGTGTTTATTTCTTCTGATAATTTTTCATCTATCCTTATTTTAAAAGCCGTTCCGTTATATATCTCCTTTATTCTATCTCTCAATTTACTACTGATTTCATTTTTCTCCATTAGTTCCCATAATTTTTCTCTTCTTATTTTATCAAAAGCTCCTTTCATATCTGCGAAGAATAGGTAGATTTCTCCCTTTTCTTTCTTCGTTTCCTCTTCCATGGCCGTCTTCACAATATATATAGCTTCTAAAGTTCCTTTTCCTATTCTATATCCAGTTTGTGTCTCTTCCATTATTTCCCTTTCTTCCATTTCCTTCTCCAACCTCTTCCTGATTATTTCTGCATAGATTTTATATCCTGTGTCCATTAGCGTTATTCCTCTATAGTTCTTTACGTCATGTATGTCTCCTTTTTTATGTATGGGTGTTACTATGCCTATTTTCCATTCTTCTGGTAGTTTCTGCTCTCCGTTCCAATCTTGTTTATTATCTTGTGAAATTCTTCTAACTATCTCCTCCTCCCTATATAGCCATGCTTCATTTGGTATTTTGTCCTCTCCTGCTGCCTTCTTTTTCTTCAACCTTTTGATCACATCCCTCACTTCCTTTAAACTTATTTCATTTTCTTGATTTGCTATCCTGTCTATTTCTACAACTTCTTTTTCTATACCGTTCCCTCCATTTGGACTTGAAAAGTGCTCTTTCCATTCGTTTATTTTGATCTTGTCACTCATCTTCGTTCTTCTTTTCCTTTGTCTGTTTATTATCTCCCAGAATTTCTTTCCTGACTTATCATTCTTCGCTTCAATCCATTNTACCCTTAATATTCGAAAAATACCGCATTTTAGAAAAAACTGTTTCATACAATTAATTATAGGGTTTTTATGTAGTGCATTACACAGCAAACATTATTTGATCTCGAATTTCAGCGTTGTCAAGTATGTGAAGGTCAGCTTCAATTTTTTAAATAAATCCCCTATTTTCATTGCATATTCTTGAGCTTATTTTCAAATTAACTATACCAATATTTTTCTTAACAAGCAACGTATGTTTCCTTTAACCCAATTGATTTTTCTCATTATTTTTGTGTAAATAGAACAGTATTAAGATAATTGAAAATGATGATTCTTACAAGAATTTTATGATTTGTAAAATTAAGAATGATTTCAAGTTTCATAATTCGAAAAGTCTACTTTAGGAAAATAATTTATTTACAGTTTTGGAGCTTTACTCTCGAGGTAAGCTACAAGAATATGGCAATGGAAAAAATAGGGGTTCTATTTAAAAAATTGAAGCTGACCTTCACATAATCTTGACAACGCTATTCGAGGTCATATAATGTTACTGTGTAATGCCGCCACATAAAACCATATAACTTTTTGTATGAACATTTTTTTAAAAATGCATCTTTATATAATATATATAATATAATATATATAATATATATATATTAATATATATATATATATAAGATATACATTTGCTTATAATATCTTTCGTTAACACATCACTAATTTTGTATAAATTTTGTAACTTTAGCAAGCCAACTTTTAACTATTTTGATGAAATTATGAAGAATAGAATTCGAACCCTTTCGGATGTAGACATTCAAATATCTATATACGATTTAACTCGTATAAAGCAACTAATCACTACGCTGCTCACGTCTCCAATAAAGCGAACATATTATATTGTAAATGGAAATAGTACGAGATTATAAAGTTTATTATTATTATACTAAACCGATAAAAAGGTTGATATCAAATTTAAATAAGTCGGCGGATGATTTCATATCTACATCGGATAAGTTGAGAAATAACTACAACATTCATAATATAGGACCGGATAACTTTATGGTATATAATCCAGAACAAACTGGTAAGTTTGCAATAAATTTATTGCATTTTATAGTGTTTATCATACACACACATTGGAGAGAAAGATTTACATTATTAAAAGTGTTATTCATTATATTATGTATTATATACATTACATTTATTATACATTATATATACATACATACATTATATATACATGCATATATATACATACATACGCACAATTATTAGAAATATTCAATTTTCATGCAAAATGATTTTATACCTAATATAATATACAAATTGCATTTCCATTTATGTTCACTTTATGATATATTTTTGATCTCTATTAATGTACAAAAGTTTAAGTACAAAAGTATAAACAGATACTTGTACTGATAAACCATTTGAAAGAATTATGTATATATATATATATATATATTATATATATTATATTTATATACAATTTATTTATTTTCGGCAGGATATTATCGAGTCAATTACGATATCGAGAACTGGCGAAGAATGGCAAGTTATCTAAATTCTACAAATTATAGGGAAATACATGTTTTGAATCGTGCTCAAATTATCGATGACGCTTTCCACTTAATGATAACAAACCAACTTAATTCCACTGTATTCTGGAATATTGCAAAATATCTATCACAAGAAACAGACTACGTGGCATGGTATCCTATGTTTAAAGCTTTAGAATATCTGTCCAATATCTTTCTATTTCAGGAAAGAATATATATTAAAATCAAGGTAATAACACAAATTATAAACATGTCAATAGTGATGTCTCCAACATACTAAAACATATTACTTATTGCACATATTAATATTGTATGCATTTATAACAATAATTATTAAGTGCTTGTCAAAAAGATACATACAATAAAATACAGTATAGGCCAAAAATATCACCTTTAAAACATATCACCTTTATGTTTTTTGAGAATAACTTAACTCAAAATGAATAACTTAATTCAAAGTGTATATATTTTTATCTAGTCACATGTTTCAATAGTAGGTATAATATAGATTATTTAACAATAGACTTTTCATTCAATAATGAACACAGCTACTTAAGAAAAATTAATTAAATACATATATACACTTTGAATTAAATTATCCTTAAAAAAGATGATATATTTTTGACGGATACTGTACATGTAATTAGAAAAAATTTGATTAGATAAAAAGGTTTAAATATACATATTTTAGATGAAAGATAAGTATATTTGTAAATTAACACTCGAATAGTGTATGTACTAATATTATAAGAAATTCGAGAGGAAAAGGGAGAAAAGTTGGAAAATTGTTATCATTTTTAATCACAGCATAATATTTAAAATGACGATTTAAATATCATTAATTTTAAGATAGAAAGTTAGTAGGACACATATATATATATTAATTATCTATGTGTTTAATACACAAAAGAATTAACAAATTATTAAATTATATTATACAATAGATATAATGTCTACATTTATACAATAGATATAATGTCTACATGTTTACAATATATGCATGCATTCACTTCTGTATGTTTATTTTGTAATATGAACATGTATTAAGCATGTGTGAATGTGCACGCAAGAAAAATTCAAATTTGTGTAAACAAATTTGTATAAATACGTATATATAAGTATAGCTATATAAGATAGATATCTTTATGTGAAATGAATTCAGAGCTGTTTACAAAGACAGAATGTTTTTAATATATAAACCATCTTAATATGTAAAATACAATTACGCAAGATATCTTTCTATATAGCAAAGTATAATGCAAGAATCGAAAAATATAAATTTATATCAAGTAACAATATAAATACATATAAACAATAAATAGAAAGGTCATAGGCGATAGAGAGCATGTAAATAATTAGATAATCAAGATTAAAATAGAAAAATCATAATTTAATAAAGCAAATTAAGTACGATAAACATACAAAAATTAAAGATAAGAATATACATAAGGTACGAACGTTTCTGGCTCTCGCTTTGAGCCTTCTTCAGCGCAATAATAATAACCAACAGAAATTAATATAAAAACTAATAAATCATAAATAAAATAAGGTATTGAGTAACATATAAATAATGATAAAATCGCAATCGGCGCAACGTTAATAGACGCTTATCGAAGTAATAGATCTTCATGGTAAAAAATAGAAACCTTATTGTGCAAGTGTAATTGGTGTAGAACAGAAACTCGACAACAGTACCAAATGCAGCCTGAAAATGGCATGATCCGGTATTTTAAACAATTCATATAATATACTGTGTGACAATATAAATACTTACAAAGAGACTGTTCAACGATAATACGAAAGATGGAGAGAAACAATAAGGTTCAACGTGAGAAACAGTTACTGTTAGAAATGCCGATGAGAAGGCTGGTATACGAGTATATACCCGAACATGACATTCAAATTTTCGGTAGCTCGTTTATAATATCATGATATAAATTTTCTGTGTCTGTCTGTAAATTTAAACCATTCTTTTGTCTCTTGATGTAAAGCATTTCAGAAATTAATCTTCTATTGTAAAAAGGAGCTTCATCCAGAATTTTAACGTCGTTCCAACAAAAATCATGATCGTATTGTAGCCTATGATTTGTAACGACAGAGCGAGTAGTATAATTTCTATTAAGTTGCGATCTATGTTCCGAAATTCTCGTCTTTAGCATTCTCGAAGTTTGGCCAATATATGAAGCGTCACAATCCGAACAATTAATTTTATAAACTACATTGGTTTTTTGATTAGAGGGAATGTAGTCTTTATGTACTTTAATAAACTTGTTTAATTTATTTAGGCTGGTATAGGAAAGTTTGATGTCCAAGTTCTTTGTGACGCTTCTAAACCGCTCAGTGAAGTTTGGCAAGTATGGGACTGTGAAAAACGTGGAAGAATCTTTCAATGTCCCAAGATCACCGCGATCACGATTCATAAACAAAAATCTAAGTCGTTGGCTTATGACTTCAAATATGAAGCTCAAGGAATAGCAATTGTCTAAAAGGATTTTGACAATACGGTCAAGATTCCTATGATGAAAACTTGGATGCGACAAGTGTTCTGTTCTACACCAATTACACTTGCACAATAAGGTTTCTATTTTTTACCATGAAGATCTATTACTTCGATAAGCGTCTATTAACGTTGCGCCGATTGCGATTTTATCATTATTTATATGTTACTCAATACCTTATTATATTCATGATTTATTAATTTTTATATTAATTTCTGTTGGTTATTATTATTGCGCTGAAGAAGGCTCAAAGCGAGAGGCAGAAACGTTCGTACCTTATGTATATTCTTATGTTTAATTTTTGTATGTTTATCGTACTTAATTTGCTTTATTAAATTATGATTTTTCTATTTTAATCTTGATTATCTAATTATTTACATGCTCTCTATCGCCTATGACCTTTCTATTTATTGTTAAAATTTAAGAGAGCTTTTCTCAATACTTGTTTAAATACATATAAATACATATATATGTACATATATATATATATATATATATATATATGTATATATATATTTATATATTTAGGTGAAAGTGTTAATCTTACTATACAAGTTGCTTGATTCACTTAAATACAATGAACTTGATTCTAATGAACACGATCTTACAAAGAGTTTGAGAATGGAGGCTGCGAAATGGGCATGTAATCTTGATGGTCGCATATGCATAGAAACAGCCCAACATAACTTAATTTCACATCTCGAGAATCCAGAAAAGAACACGTAATTTTTCTTGTATATTTCTGATTATTTTAATTTAAATGTTTTGTAGATACATGTGCAATGTTTGTTACATTATTCGATCAAAATTTAACTTTATTATATTATGTTATAAAATCATAATTTGTAAAATTATTTAATCAAAATATAAGATTAATATGTGCAAAACTTTTTTATGAGAATTTGTTTTTTGTTAAATCTCATAGGCTTTTGCCATGGTGGAAAGAATGGACATATTGTCAAGGTTTAAAAATATTGTACTATCCTCTTAGCAGTGAAAGTATGAAGGATTCACCTTGGTGGAAAGTATATCGTCTGGGAAAAGAAAAATTTAAAACTAAATTTTTAAAATATCTGTCTTGCCCTGAGGATTCAATATTTATCATACCCTATTTAAATCTAATAAAAAATGATAGTGCACCATCGATTATATTTTTAAAAGATTTTTCCGATAAAGATTATATTGATTATTTTCTTTTTACTATCGCAAAGCATGCAAGGAATCCTGTAGTACTCGATTTCATATTACACAATCTTAAAAATATAAAACCTAAGTAATACAATTTTCTCTCCGTAAATATATATCTATCATTCAACAATTTATGTGTGTATCAATAAATTTATTATTTTACTGTTATAGACAAATCAGCGAGTATGCAACATTTACTGTAATTATTAATCATGTGTATTCCACAGATCAACTCCAAAAGGTAAAAATTGCATGTGCTTATATATATGTGTGTGTGTGTGTGTGTGTGTGTGTGCGTGTGTGTGTGTGTGTGTGTAAAATAAATAACCATGATGACATCAAATATTGCTGTTTAATATCATCAAAATAATTTGTTTTAGATAAACGACTTCATAACAGATAAATTTCTTAATGTAATGCAAGTTAAATTAAATGAATGTAAGAAGTTATCGCGTTTTGTGAATGAAAGAAATACGAAAGTAGAGGTAAATTTTAGGAACATTATTATACTAATATTTCGTTTATTAATCATTGATTGTTCTGTTTTCATACAGAATATATTAATGTCACAGTGTCCTAAAATAACAAGCAAAAATTAATGTAATTTAATTTTTTTATAAAATAAGCATATATTTATTTCTAATTTCCAAAAATATATTATTTTGGAAACATGCAATTTTTAATGATTGAGAAAGTGAGAAAGAATGAGCGAGCGAGCGAAAGCAAAAGAGAAAGAGAATTTCTTTACTTGGAAATTTTAGTGAAAATCGAATTATAAATTTTAAAAAGAAAATTTACAAGTTTTAGATTTAAATCTTAATTAGTCTAGACGTTCAGCTCTTAGTTAAATAAATTTAAATGTTTTTTAATATAATTGAGAAAATATTACGTAATGTGATTTGCATACTTTAATATTACACGAGTCATTTGTTTACTAAAATAAAAATTTAATAAAGATGGATGAGTTAAAAAGATTAATGTTCTTGCTAGATGTAACAATTATAATATTATAATATTATAATGATGTTATCTCTGTGACAGCTGCAGCTCATATAAATTGCTAATTTTATTTTATTTTTAAAATTTCCAATTTTAAATTTTGATTTTTATTTCTTAAAAATTACTTGCAAAGTAACTATCTAACTATTATTTATAAGTACTCCTTGTAAACAAAAAAGTTGGTAAGTAAAATATAGTGCAACACTATGCACATAATATAATAGAACACGTAGGTACGTACAATAGAAGAATGATTTTATTCTCATTTCAGTAAATTTGTAATTTTCATATTTCCATAATTATTATTTATTTCTATTACATTTAAGATTATTATTATTATTTATTGTATGTATTATTAATATATATATATATTTAAATATATATATATATTAAATATATTAATATTATATATATATATATATATATATATATATACACATAATAGATAATATTTAATATAATGTTTATAATAATTATTGGCTATTTACACTAATACCGATATAATCTGTTTTAGACATGCTTTACAGAATTAGCAGAAAATTTCACATGTATGCAACCATATACTTCAAATATTGTAAGCAAACTACAAATGCGCTTTTTCGAAATCAAAAGTCAACAGAATTACTTTCAAAATTTTGTCAAATATCAACAATAACCGTTTGATAGAAGTAACAATTGTGACGCAAATACATCTATATATCTTTTTGACAAATAGCTTTTTATAATGTTTATAGTTTTTATTTATTATTTATGCTTATGTACGTTAATAATATATAATTAAATACACGTGCATTTACATGGATTCATTTTGGTCTGCAATTCATTGATGTTTTTATTTTCTTATAAACATGAAGTAAAGGAAAGTGTAAATTATATTCATAATATATAGATAATTATAATTAAATTATGTTATATTATAATTAAATATATAATTAAATATCGCCCCAATATTTTTCTTGTCTACATCTCTTCAGAAGGGTAAAGAGGATTTATAGAATTCTCAAAAATGAGAATCTATATCTTGGTAAATGCACCAAGTGAAACATATGCATACATCTCGTGCTCGTTTAAATTATCGCGAACAATTAAAATTTACGCATTACCATCCACGATGGCTCTTATTCGCTACTTTCTTGTCGTGTTGTTTTATATTAGAATTTTTTTTTGTTAAATCTCGTAGGCTTTTGCCATGGTGGAAAGAATGAACATATTCTCAAGGTTTAAAAGTATTGTACTATTCTCTTAGCAATGAAGATTCTCCTTGGTGGGGAGTATATCATCTGGGAAAAGAAAAATTTAAACCTAAACTTTTAAAATTTCTCTCTTGCCCTGGGAGTTCATAATTTATCAAAACCTATTTAAATCTAATAAAAAAGGATCATACAACATCAATTATGTTTTCGTAAGATTTTTTCCGATAAAGATTATATTAATTATTTTTTTTTTTACTATCGCGAAGGAATCCTGTAGTACTAACCCAGGTAACAAGCACACGTCATTTTGACGTTTCAAATTAGTCATTCACTGACTATTCTTGATGTCACGAATTGACGTTTTTGTGACGTAAAAGTGATGATCTAATGTCACAGATTCTTGATGTCATGAGATGTATCGCATTTTGACATCATAAAATGTACCATATTTTGACGTCTTTTTCTTACCATAATAATATATTTAATAGTATTATTGAATAAAGCACTGTCTAAAAGTAAATCAGTGTATTATCACTGAAAAACAGTAAATAGTCACTGATTATAGCAGTTATAAGTACAGCACTATAAATCAGTGACATTTTATTGAAAGAATCAGTTAATAATTTTGACTATTTCAATCAGTAATATCTCAGTAATATTTCTTTTGTTATTGCCAGTAATATTAAACTACAATTCATCTCTCTATCTATTTAATATTAATATTATTAATAATTAAGAAATATCATGAATACATTCTTACAAATTACATGAAAAATTATCCAATACAAATTACATGAAAAATTATCCAAAGTATACATATAATGATTATATAATAGTAATTCATTAAATTTACATACATATTTTATTCTATAGTATATATTTGAAATATATTCTATAGTATATATTTTGAAATATTCATAAAAAAGTAATTGATTGTATTTTCATATCAAAGAGTCGTCAATAAATTCGAAATCTATTTATAAATTCCATATCGCGCGGAACTGAATATTCATGAAATAAATTATGATTACGAAAATACCGTTTTTCCACGTTCTTTTCGTGTTCGATTAAACGAGATTGCCGTGTTAATAAAGAATCTTATTGTCGTAATTTTATTATATTGATTTATTATAAGAAATATTTTTTATTCTTTAACGTCAAATGAAATCATTTCCTTCAGAAATTGAAAATTTGATAAGACACAAGATATATGATATTTACAAATGGTTTCTGAATCAAAATAAAATAATATGGATAGTTAAATTTTACTTGCGATAAAATAGCATTATTTATTAATTTAAAATAAGAGATAAAATGTCCAGCATTAATTATATCATAAGTTTATATCATAAAGTAATGTTTAAAGTATTAAATATTTCAAGACAATAATCTAAATTAACTATAACATTATTTGGCCTTTACAGCCTTTGCGATACTGTTACTGTTATCATAGGCGCTTAGCATGTTGTCATTCACCCGGCGACACTTGAGCAAGAAGGTAATGAGATGTAAAACATTCTATAGATTGTCGAATTCTTTTTCGAAATACGGTTACGATATCGAGAAATAATTTGCTATAATTATCATGATTAATAATTAATTAATTTTAAGAATAATATGATTTTAACACTATTGTGAAGATAGATTTCGAACGCGTATGTTAAATGATTTAATGATTCGTTTAATCAAGTCAAAGAATAAAATATATATATATATATAAATTTTTATATTATTATTTCATTGCAATTCTTCCGGACAATAATTATTTTTCCAATGATACTTGAAGTCAGATACATTTTGTTCACTGCTACACTATTCGACTTTTGGACGATTTAAATATAATTTAAATTCAAAATACACAGTGAAATAATCGAATAATGAGATCGAGCAATTTGCATAATGAAAAAATTGGTAATATATTATAATTATTTAATAATTATAATTTATAATTTAAAATATTTCTATAATATAATAAATTTCTATAATTTAATATTCCATGTGTGTGTGTGTGTGTGTAATGTTAAACGTAAAATAATTCGGCAACAAATTGACAACAACATGGTATTCGGCCTTGACGGTTATAGAGCGCTATTCTTTATATCTCACGGTCTTGTTATCATTTGTGTGTCGATATATATTCGACCAGCAAACTAATAACACAAAACGCTCCGTCACAAATTCCATTTAAAAATATGTTCGCGATTAATATTAAAAAATCATTTTCGATCATGAATACAATTAATGATTAATTATTTTTTGGCATACGATAATGTATTGCGATGATAAATCTTTATTGAAACGCAATCATTCTTTATTACAAGTATATATATATATATATATATATATATATATATATATATATATACATAATCATAATATGTAATAATATCTCAGTTATAAAATAATAACACGATCTTCGGCCTTGATGGTGTATGACGCGCTAATGTGTTCTTCGGTTCTGTTATGTTTAGTGCGATTTTTATAAGCAGAAATTATTTCTTTAATAATATTTATAGAGTCTTACATCAACTATAGAATATGACATCAAATATAATTCGACCGCGACGCTTTATCTCGTTCTATTTTTCATTTATTTAAATCTAATTTAGATTCAAAACGCACAGCAAAACAATCGAATCGTAAATCGAAGTAACGAAATAAATCGAAGTTAACATAATGAAAAGCTTTGTGATACATCAATTCTTTAACAAATATCATTTAATTAATCTAAAACACTCTTATAATCTTTAATATTCCGTGTAAGTACGCAAAATATTTCGGCAATGAATAGACAATAATACGTTCGGCCTTAGCGGCGTATGATGTATTGTGTTTACATCTCACGGCCTCGATATCATTCGCACGGTATCACTCGAGGAGTAAGGTACGAAATACTTTTTATAACGCCAAATTTTCTCTCTAACCATAACGCAATCGCGACTAGTATTGAAAGAAATTCGCTATGACAATTATAATTAATGCTTACTAAATTTATAATCGTAATTATTACGCGATCGGGAGTGCCGTGCAAAGTGTCTCGCGATCGTCGCGAATATGATTAACCTTAATTAATCTTGTTTTCGGGAGTGCAACGAAAAAATAGTAAAGGAGAGGAAAAGCAAGTCTGAAAAAGCACTGGGCAACATACGGAGCAACAATATGCGGTAAATAATTTGTAAATTATTTATTATTTATATTTATCATTTATATTCAAGCTATATTATATATATTATTTATATTAGATTTATATACATCATTTATATTCAGATCATATTATATATTGCTTGTCCTTTTGTTCACTCCCTCTCTCTCTCTTTCTCTCTCTCTCTCTCTCTCTCTCTCTCTCTCTCTCTCTCTCTCATTCCAAATTATCTAAATTATTTCAATTTTAAATTACATTAGTATAACATGTATATGTAAAATATTCTGGATTTTATTTTAATATATTTAAAATGTCTATAATAAAATGTCCTTGTATTAATATTTTTATATAGATAATAATATTTTAAAATCTGCTTTACAATAATATATTATTTAGATTTTTTATGCATAAAAGAATTAGAATTTTCCTCTTTTCATAAATTTATTCAAAACGAATTTTTTCGATAATTGCAATTTATCATATTAAATGCCTGCTGTATATTTTAGCTTGTTAATGTCGCATTTTATTTAATGTCTCTCTATTATATATTTTAGTTACATTTGTCATACATTTTAATTTTTTTATTTATACATTTATAACGAGATGTAGTTTCCAGAATATTTTTGAAATTTGATTTAATTAAGTTGGGAAGTAACGCGTTACTTGTAACATCGTTACCATTACAATTATTTTTTTCGATAACTATAACGATAATGATGTTACAAATTTCGTTTGTAACGAAAGAAGTAACTTCGTTACATCTTTCGGTAATGAGTAACAAATTTAACAGTTACTTTTATCGCTACTTTATGCAAATTTACTCGTTGTAATTTTCATTCAAAGAAGAGTGTGGGATGCAGAAATCACATGTACGTAAACGCGTCATTAGACACATGTGAAAGAAAAAGTTCAGTAAAGATGTTCAGTGTCGGTGGAGCTGTATTAACGCCACAAAGAGAGCAGCTAAATGATGACATAGTTGAACAGAAAATTCTTTTAAAAATTAATAAAGAATTTTGATAAAATTTAGTATGTTTTCATTTATTTTAAAATAAACCCTGTAATATTTAATAAATTTATATTTAAAAAAGTAACGAAAATTGTAACGATGCGTTATTTTTAAATAACGGTAACGGTAACGAGTTACTTTTGAACATTGGTAAAGAGTAACGATAACGAATTATTTTTTAGAAAAAGAACAGTAACGAGTAACTTTTAAAAAGTAACTTTCTTAACCCTGCATTTAATGAAAACATACTTTATATATTATTGTTTTATATATCGCGATATTAAAGCAATCAACATCATCTGCATAAAAAATAAATATGCATATTACATATTCTCTTAATTTTCAACTATAAAATGATATTATAATTAATGTATATTAATATTAAGTAACTGATAATTTCTGTTTGCATTTAGATTATATTTATAAAGCTTTATCTTCTAA